TAAAAAAAAATTACTGTATTTAATATTTTAGGGTAATACCTGCCTGGAGAATGGATCTTTCTTACTGAACTTCACTGGCTGTGCAGTGTGCAGTAAGCGGGATTTTATGCTGATCACAAACAAATCCCTAAAAGAGGAAGATGGAGAAGAAATAGTGACGTATGATCGTAAGTAGGCTTTTTTTTTTTTTAAATGTGGACCTGTTAGCAGGTATCAGCTTTGAGAGATTTGATATGTTGTACAAAGTGTTCTGAGGCCTATTATATTGCAACTAGTTGCTAGTTAGATTTTTAAGAGTAAAATATAACAGCTCGTTATCTAATGTCATCAGATATTCTGCATAAATGACTTGAAGATAACTGAAGCTAGTCAGGCACCAATTTTTTTTTATTAATTTGTATAATAAAAATAAATCCACTCTGGTGGCTAAGAATGATTGAGTAAATTAAGTCGTGTGTATGCAATAGTATATATGGACACTGTGACAAGTGTTTAAACTGCTCACATCCCTTCTTGTTTATCTCCTGGCTCTTGGATATATTTGAGTGGTTTTTTAAAAAATTTATTTATTTATGTGTGTGTGTGTGTGTGTGTGTGTGTGTGTGTGTGGCCAGCTCAGCCCACCAGGGGGCGGGGCTGGCTGGCATGTGGTGCTGGGGGATTGAACTGCAGTCCCTGTGCTTTGCGAAGCTTGTTCTAAGTAGGTGCTTTAGACCACTGAGCCATCTCACCAGCCCCTATTAGAGTGTTTTGAAAGCGATATGAAACATGTGTTCCCTTAAAACTGTATTTTGTTCTCAGCAGTTGCACACAGTTGTCATGAGCAAGGGCTCTGGAGCCAGAATGCTTGGGTCTGAACTCTATTTCCAACAGCTTACACCTCAGCAATTGTCCTACCTTCTTAACCACAGCGTAGGGCGTGCCAGGGAGATAGCTTGGCGGCATAAGCACCCACGTGCCTGGCAAACACAAGGTCCTGCGTTCAATCCCTGGTACCAAATAAATAAATAAATACATACATACATACATACATAAATGGACCTTTGTTAAAAACAATGTACCTGGGGCTGGTGAGATGGCTCAGTGGTCTAAAGCACCTACTTAGAACAAGCTTAGCAAAGCACAGGGACCGCAGTTCAATCCCCCAGCACCACATGCCAGCCAGCCCCGCCCCCTGGTGGGCTGAGCTGGCCACACACACACACACACACACACACACACACAATGAATAAATAAATAAAAAAAATAAAAAAAAAAACAATGTACCTTTCTTTCCTCATTTATTAGAAAAAATGATAATCATAATATTTATCTCGGGGCTGGTGAGATGGCTCAGTGGTCTAAAGCACCTACTTGGAACAAGCTTAGCGAAGCCCAGGGACCACGGTTCAATCCCCCAGCACCACATGCCAGCCAGCCCGCCTCCTGGTGGGCTGAGCTGGCCACACACACACACACACACACACACAAATAAATAAATAAATAAAAATTTAAAAAAAAATATTTATCTCATTGAGTTTTTTAGAAGATATAATGAATGAATAGCTAAAAAAGTATTTAAAAGATTATCTCTTTCTGGGGGCACACCTATAACCCCAGCATTCTGGGAGGCTGAGGTGAGACAGTTGTAAGTTTGCAATTTAGTAAGACTGTGTCACAAAAGGGTCTGGGCAAAACCCTGTGTCCAATCCCTAGTCCCACAAAGTTTATATGTATACTGTAAATCATAGTTATGACTGCATTGTTTTCTTTTATTCTTTTTTTTTTTTTTTTTTGTACTTGGGATTAGCACAGGCTCTGCAGGGGCTCACTGCATAGATCGGACTCTCAGTAATGCTCCTGTTTTCAGCCTCCTCAGTGCTGGCATGACAGGCACATGCTACCACACCCATTCTCAGTCACCCCTGGAGTAGGGCCGGCACAGCACGCCAGGGTGCTATGCCTGAGCAGGCGCTTTAGTCTGCTGAGCTATCTGCAGCCCAAGACATAAATCTTTTACATAGTTAGGTAAGTCTGGGGAGATGGCTCAGTAGAATAAGCGCTTCCCTGGCAAGCGCAAGAGCCTGAGTTCAATCCCCGGTTCCACCAAAAAAAAAAAGATAAATCCAGCTAGTTTTAAAAAATCTGCTTATATATCTATTAATTGATTATTTGGAAGAGCTTTCAGTGGGAATTAATGTATGCATGTTATGCCTCTGAATTCAGGTCCTAATTTATAGTGTTGCTGTATGATGGGTTCTGGAATTCTTAGGAAAGTCAGTGTTAAAACTGGTTTTCTTCTGTGCTACCTGTGACAGAGCTAATATTCTTATGATGATCTTTTGTGTGTGTGTGTGTGTGTGTGTGTGAGCGCGGAACCGGGGATTGAACTCAGGCCGTTGCGCTTTCCAGGGAAGCGCTTATTCCAGAGCCATCTCCCTGGCCCATAGAGCTAATATTCTTTTTATACTATCTTGCTGAGAGTACAACTTTTACTCTTCTAAGAAACTTTCCAAGACTTAATTCTATGTGAATCTTTGTGTTTTGGCAGATCTGTGTAAGAACTGTCATCACGTAGTGGCCAGGCATGAATATACATTCAGTATCATGGATGAATTTCAGGTAAATGTATGAATATGGGTTGTGGGGCAATAATAAAAGTAACCTTGAAAATCTAAGTATAGTATGTATTTATTTATTTATTTTGCGGAACCAGGGGTTGAACTCAGGCCCTTGTGCTTGCTGAGCTATCTCCCCGGCCCTAGGTATAGTTTTTAAAAATGAAGTGCTAGCAGCTGTCAAAGACCTCTTTTCTACCTCTGCAGGTTGAGACAGAAACTTTGAAATGTGGGTAGATCTGTGAAAACCTGTTTTTGCAAATCATGAATCAAAGTGTCATTACTAATGAGATCTCAGTCCTGTTTTTATTTATAAAGCACAATCCATATGGCTTCCAGTGAGGTTATTTATCACTGTGCGTCCTTTTACTCTGCCCATTATGCACTTGTGCAGTTGTTGACTATAAGTTTTGGCCTTTCTATGCCACCATACATACAGGGCATAAGTCTTTTGAGACAGGGCTTTGCTATGCAGTTCAGATTGGCATTGAACTCAGCAATCCTCCTGCCTCAGCCTCCTGAGTGCCAGGATTATAGGCATATGCTGCCATACCTGGCCTTAGTCTTGATAAAGAGGCTATTTTTTTTTTTTTTTTTTTTTTGGTATTTTTTTAGGGAAGGGTCTGCAGGGTGTCAGGGTCTCACTACTAGATCGGACTCCTAGTGATCCCCTTACAGCCGCCTAAGAACCAGAATTACAGGTGTATGCCACCACGCTCAGTCTGAATTGCTACCTCAGTGTGCCCTGGGGGACTGGGCCAGCAGGCAGGCCCAGGGATCAAACCCCCAGCCCCTGGGCCTGCTTGCAGATGCTTTAATCCACTGAGCTATTTGGCCAGCCCTCCAAATACATTTTTTAAAAAGAGAAAGTAAGGAATTTAGTGTAAGGCTTAGTTTCATGCAGTTGTTAGAGCAGTGGAAGAATTCTGTGGGCTTCTGTGGGCAACAGTGTAGTCCTAAGGTTGAACATTCACAAATGTCGTGGTCGGAAGGAAGCTGGGCAGAGCCTAGGCCAGCAGTGGTGAGCCTTTTAGAGCCTTCAGTGATAACAGCCAGCGGTGCCACATGTGCTGTAGGCTCACCACCACTAGCCTAGGACAAACCAGAGCCTCTGAGTCTTGTCGTCTCCATTTTCAAGCCTTTAGATTGAGGTTCTTTTTTGTGTGTGAAGTACATAGTTGTCCATAGGATATAAATATTAGGTTACACTGGGCATGGTGGCTCACACTTATGACCCTAGCACTTGGGAGGCCAAAGCAGGAGGAGAGCAAGTTGAAGACCAGCGTGGAGTACATAGGGCAAGCCTGTTTCAAAAGAGCCAATATAATTGATCATATTAGAGCTTTTAACAGTCAAAGGAGAGGGTGTTGCTCAGTGGTAGCGTGCTTGCTTACCTTTTATGCACAAAGCCCTGAATTTAATCCCTAGCACTGGCAAAAAACAAAACAAAAAAAACTGTACAGAGAATTTTATCTTTTTAGTCCTTCAAATTTAGATAGTACTTTAATTAGGAAAAAAAAGCCTTCCATAGCAGAATAATAAAATTTTATAAGTCCTCTTAGTTATGTTTTCTTTAGTGTGGAAGAAAGTATATAGCCACTAGTCATAATCTGGTCTGATATGTGGTAGTTAATCTAACTAACATGGCAAGTACAAACTATTCAGTATTTAAAAATTGTGACTAAAAGATACTTCATGGGCTGCCTGGAGGGCCGGCCAAATAGAAATGCAGGGGCTGGGAATTCGATCCCCAGACCCGCTGTACCGGCCCCGCCCCTGCGGCGCTGAGAGGGCGATTGAAGCTGGGCATGGTGGTGCGTGCCCGTAATCCCAGCGCTTGGGAGGCTGTAAACAGAAGGATCACTATGAGTCCAATGTAGTGAAACCTTTTAGACCCTGCACTAAATACAAAAAAAAAAAAAAAAAGAGGCTGGCTGGAGGTGGTGGAGGGTGTGCCTAAGGCATGTGAGGCCCGAGGTTCATTTTCTAGCACCAAAAACATGCAATGATGCCTCAGTTCACAAATGCTTTTGTTTTCAGTTTGGTTCCCAGAGAAGAAGCACTTGGCAAAATTTTGTTTTTGTTTGCAAACTACATTGAGTGACAAACATGTGGCCATCTTTCCCGCATGAATACAAACGTGGCCCTCTTTTTCAGAATTGTGAAATGAATTAAGTTCGTAAACTGAGGTGCCGCCACTGTATTTTTGTGACGTGTGTGGTTTAATGTAAAAATTAAGATCACTGTGAATGAGCAGAGATAAAATAGAGGAATGAATATGTCATGGGCTTAAAGAAACAACTCTACCTTTTTACGAGAGGAAAGGAGTGCTTAGAGCAGTTCTGCTTAGGCCTCTATGAGCCTGTGCAGCCCTGGATGTGTATTGCGATCGCTCAGTGTGTCCTCACTGACCCCCTGCCAGGAGACCCAGGCCTGCTTGATTTTCCTGTGACTGAATGTGGACATTTTCAAATGTATCCCAGAAATTTCTGGGTAGGGTAGGGAAAATCAGTGAAAAAGAAGAACACCAGTATTTACAGCATCTAGGTAGTGTGAATTGCTCTTAGAGAAATTTAGCAGAGTGTGGAGTCATGTTGGTAATCCCAGCAGGGGCTGGCCAGCTAGCTCAGCAGATTAAAGCCCCTGCAAGCAGGGGTCAGGGGTTTAATCTGCGCCTGCTGTGCTGGCCCCGCCCCTGGGGCATGCTGAGACTGGGCGTGGTGACACATGCCTGTAATCCCATCACTTAAGAGGCTGTAAACAGGAGGATCACTATGAATCCAATCTGATAGTGAGACCCTGAACACCCTGTAGATCCTTCCCTAAAATAAAAAAAAAAAAATCCATGCACTTTGGGAGGCTGAAACAAGAGTTCACACCCAGTCTAGGCAATGTAGTGACTTACAACCTTGTGTTAATATCTTTAAAAAAAATTTAAAGGTGCAGGGGTTATAGCTTAGTGCAGAGGCACTGAGTTCAATTCCTAGTACCACCACCATTTTTAAAAATATGCTCTTAAACCAAACTTCCTGGATGTAGTAGCACATACCTGTAATCCCATCACTCAGAAGATGAGGCAGGAGGATTGATGGAAGTTTGAGGCCAATCTGGACTACATAGTGAGTTCAAGGCCAACTTGCACTATAAAGGAAATCCCTGTCTCTAAAACAGAACAAAAAACCCCGGACCGGACTCGTGACCTCCAGTCTTCTCTCTCTCTCCACATCTACTGTCCCCACTGTATCCTATATGTTGTCATCAGATGATTTTTATTTTTTTATTTTATTTTTTTTTTAATATTTTTTCTTTTTTTCCTTTTCATTTATTTATTCTGTGTGTGTGTGTGGCCAGCTCAGCCCACCAGGGGGCGGGGCTGGATGGCATGTGGTGCTGGGGGATTGAACCGCGGTCCCTGTGCTTTGCAAAGCTTGTTCTAAGTAGGTGCTTTAGACCACTGAGCCATCTCACCAGCCCCCATCAGATGATTTTTAGTCAGCTCTTTGACCTTCTCATAGCTCATCTTTGACTGTCATCACTACTTGTCACAGGATTCCTAATGGCTGGGCTGTCTCAGTTTCCATTTATGCATCTCATTTTTTGCAAATCTTCCTTAAGTAAACATATGAATGTAGCATTGTCCCAACTTCAGGCTCGTCTTTTTATTTTCTCCTTGCCTATGCTACCCTACCTCATTTGCTCAAGAATCAGATCTGATCTTCTATCTTACCATCCTCTTCTATGGAATTCTTTTTTGTTTTGTTTTTTGAGACAGTCTCACTTGGTCCAGGTTGGGCTTGAATTCACCATTTTAGTCCAGGCTATCCTCAAACTCAGGAAATTCCTCCTGCCTCAGCCTCCTGAGTGCTAGGAGTACAGGCGTGCACCACCATATGAAGCTTTGGGGATTTAATTTATTCTAACATTAATTTTTTTTAATATTAAACATATGCCTTTTTTTTTCCTTCTTCCCAGTATTGGAGATTGAACTTAGGACCTTGAGCTTGCCAGGCAGATGCTTATGCTGCAGAGCTAGCTCTCAGGCCCTAACTTATGCCTTCTTTATTAAAAATACATTTTAATAACTGGGCATAGTGACATGTTTATTATCCCAGCAGTGGGGGGCGCTGAGGCAGGAGAATTGCCATGAGTTCAAAGTCAGCCTGGACTACATAGTAAATTCAAGGCCAGCCTGAATTGCAGAGTGCGACCTTGTCTCAAAAAACAGCAAACAAAATTTTAATCCTTCTACTGACATACTTCTGTAATTTGTCTGTAATCACCTCTTTCCTTCCTTTTGCTTCTTTACTTGAATAGGTCTTTAGCCAGTTTTCCTTTTCTTGTGTTCCTCTTAACTACCTACAAACTGGTTTCATTTTTACTTAACTAAAACTAGTCACTCGAGGTTTCCTATAATGTAAACCAATCCTGTAATTTCTTTTTGCCACTGTTCTTAACATGTTTTCTGGGTCTGGTTTTGTTAACCATTGTCTGTAGCATTTCATCCCATGCATTCCATAGTGCTTGGCTGACTTTCTTTTTAAATCATTTGCATGGCTCCATTGTGTTTTCCTCTCCTTTCCCCCATTTTCCCCTGGCTTCTCTGAACTTTGGTCCGAGGTCTGGAGCCTTCTCTCTTCTCCCTCACGGAGACCACACACAAGTGCTCAGTCTCTTAGATGAGATGTCTGTGGGATCTCCTGCCCTGACTTCACCCCTGAGCCGCCCCTCCTTTCATCCTTTGTTTCTCCAGCTGTTTTCAAGCTTGGCACCGAGTCTCTGTCTGCCACATGAAGCACCAGGCCTGCTCAAAGCACCGTAGCCCTCCACACTGCCGTGGACTCAGTTCCCAAGTGTACACTCACCTGCTAGCACCTGTCTGCTCTGTGTGGGACCTGCTGCCAGTTTTCTGTATCGCTGTCATTCATGCCTTTTTTTTTTTTTTTCTTTTGCTTTGAAGTGTTTTTTTCTCTACCTTCAGCACAATCTTACCACTTTCTGGTGGCCCCTAAATTCTGTCTTCTTGTCCTGCAAGGTGCAGCCTAGCTGTGTTCCCCCCTTTATTGAACTGAACTGAGAAATCATACTTGCATCTGGTCCTGAATCAAGTGAATGGCCGCCTGGGACTTGTGCCTCAGCCTGATGGCCCCATTAACCTTCCCTTCTCAGCTGCTGTGACCTGTGTTCACCCCACCCTTTCAGTGTATTGTAAATCCTTACGGGAAATTTACATATAGTCAGAAGTAGGCAGAAGAGTGTATTAGCCTCCATTGCCTAGCTTGTGGTTGCTTTGTGTTTACTTCACTGCTCCCATATCCCCACAGCATTATCACGAGGTCGACCCAAAACATACCACTATTTCTATAACTATTTCATTATATTTCTCTAAAAGATAAGAATTCAGTTTTTAAACACTTATAATACAGTTGTTGCACAAGGTGAGAGTCTTCTGATGGCAAGACTGAGGGGTGGAGGCAGAGACAGAAGTGTGGAGTGTAAGAAAATACAGGCAGTTACAGTCCATGTTTGTCAAAATCCACTGTTGAGAGTCCCTCAAATGGACTATACGAGAGGAGAGCTGTGACACTGCTGACTTACTTCTTGTGAGCTACGAAAGGAAAGGAGGAGAGGGGCTATCAGAGTTGAATGGGGCTGAGTAGGGGAAAGGACAAGGGACCTTCCAAATGAACAAAGGGTCAGGCCTGACCCCCGGTGCCTTTCCCACCCTGCTCTCCTTCCCAAGTCCTATCCCAACTCCTGCCTAGGTGGAGCCTCTGAGGCCCCCTTGGATGCCGGTAGGGTTTTATTCTCCCAACTTGGTTAGTTTTACTAAAAAGTGGCCTAATCCTGCCTACATCCCTGGCAGCAGGGACCTGTGTTTCTGGCATCCCATGTTAGAATTCTATTCATCCTTTCCCACAAAGCACTGTTATATAGGGTAGAGTCTGTAGCACTTGTGCAGTATACATTTAAGAGTTTCAAATATTCCTGGGAACCTAACTGCTACATATATAACTTTACCTCTGTGGGGAACTGTTGTTGAATTCTAGCCAGGTGACTTAGAATGAAATTTGTCCAGAAAGCTGATAAAGATTACAGGTGTAATCATCTCACTAATTTGGTTATCTTGCCAGATTATATCATCTGTTTGATTTATTTATTTTTTCTTCCAAGATAAATTATAAACTTTGTAAGGTTAAGCTTTGTCCTTGCTTTCTTTCATATATGCCGGTGCACCTGGTACATTGTAGGTACTCAGGTTGAACTTGGCAAAGAATAGATTGCTTGCTAACTCAGGCATTTGTCTAGCATCTTCCCTCTTGATTCTGTTACTTTACTCATCTCTAAGAGTTGCCATCCAGTAGTAATGTGTTGTAGGACAGAGTAGTAGAAGCACTTGAGAACAATAAAAGACCTTAGTGTGGGTTGATATTTTATTCTAATTTCATGAGACCATACTTGCTTCCTGAACTCTAGCCTCCATGTATTTCTACTGTGCGTATAGAGTAGACTTGAAAACAAGTGTGAGAACGGGGGTGTAGCTGAGTGCTAGAGCACTTAGCAGCTGTGCCCAAGCCCGCGGGCTCAGTCTCCAGCCCCATGAACAAACGTAAGCACCGTGGGCTCAGGAAGCAGCCTTTCTCCTGCTACAGCTGAGTGCCCGTGCGTGAACTCCAGCAGGAAATGGAAAGGCAGTTGTCTGCCTCTCAGACTGGCGCGGTTGCTACTGCTTATTTGTGTGTCTTTCAATTTTTTTTTTCTTTATTTATTTACTGGATACAGGGTCTCACTATGCAGTTCAGACTCACGGTGGTCCTCCTGTGGCAGCCTCCCCAGCACTAGGGTTACAGGCGTGCCACCACACCCAGTTTGGGGGCTGGTGGTTCTGGGGTGGCATGGAATGCAGTACTGGGGAATCAAACTCAGGTCCGGGCACTTGTCGGGCAGGTGCTTAGACCGCTGAGCTGTCTCCCCAGCCCCTGTGTGTCTTCCTAGCGACTGTTCACTAGACCCAGGAAACAAACTGTCTGGACTCATTTCCAGACAGTTAGCAGCACTAGGTGAGGAAATACTGACAGATTAAGCACAGATGTGTTCCTGAGGATGAGAAAAGAAATTTATTAAAAAGTTGCAAAGAAACGTGTCTCTGTAGCTTCTGACTATCATTAAATATCCCTGAAAGGGACAGCTATAAGAATAGCACTTTGCCCTAAGGATTTCTACCTAAAATAAAACGCTTCTCTCACCAGCCTGGATATTTGCTGAGCCCAAGAAACTTAAAACTTAAAAACATGAAATTATGAGCAATTAGACATTTAAGTGTATGACATTCTAGTAAATTTAATATACTTGTTTTTTGGTTTGTTTTTGTTTTTTTTTTTAGAATACACAAAAGTAGAATTTTCCTTGAATTTTTTGTTTGTTTGTTTGTTTTGAACTGGAGATTGAACTCAGGCCCTTACACTTGGCCAGGCAAGCGCTTATTCTACTGAGCTATCTCTGTGGCCCCCAAAAGTAGCATTTTCAATTTGGGAATTTTCTTCTTGCTCTCCCTCTGCCCCATTGCATTTAATGTTAAATGTTCTATAAAAGAACAGTTCTAAAAACAAAAATTTGTCCTCAGGGACCTACACTCAAATTGTTTATTTGAGTACTAAGTTAAATGTGCATGCTAAGACCAAGAAGTAGCCAGTATTTCCAAGGTGACATCGTTGTATGTTTTTTTTAAAAATATTTATTTATTTATTTATTTTATTTTGTGTGTGTGTGTGTGTGTGTGTGTGTGTGGCCAGCTCAGCCCACC